AACACGCCATTGAACTCCAGCCTGGGGACCAAAAGCAAAACTCCATTTAAAAAAAAAAAAAAAAAAAAAATGTAATGTGCTTGAGTCATCCTGTAACCATTGTCCCCTGGACCCCCATCCATGGAAAAATTGTCTTCCATAAAACCTGGTTCTGGTGCCAAAAAGGTTGGGGACCACTGTCTTTAAATTTTAACTCATTTAAATCTGAAAGCAATTTTGTAAGGTTAAGCTATTTTACAGAGAAGGAAGCTGACTCACAAAATTTAGATCACTGAGTCACACTGGGACATTGCCAGAGTTGAAAGCCAGGGCCTTTCTGCTATACTATGCAGCCCTTCATGTCCGCGCACCTTAGTGAGGTCCCTTACTACTGCCTGCATGCCTGAATCACAGGGAAGGCCACTACAAGGTGGTTTACAGGCCTTGGAGTTTGCATCATTTCAAGGTCAAGGAGAAATTATCCTTTTGGAGGCCCATTGTACTGTACTGGCAGGCCTAGAGGCATGAAATAAAGTCGGCAGTCAGTTTTAATCCATTACTGTTGTTTTGTTGCAAACAGATCTCCGAAGGTAAGACAAATTTATTGTTATGATCAGATGCTGGTTCATGCCGTGCCCATGATTTTATTCATTTTGTTCTGAAGAAATGAGTCATAGGCCCGTTTGCTTCCTATCCCCTGTGGCTGAGCTAGTTCAGCTGCATAGCAGTGAGAGAAATTCAGTTCTGTACACATTTATTGATGTGTATGTTCCCTGTGCCAGGCATTGCACAAGGAGCTAGGGATACAGAGATAAATAAGCCCCAGTCCTTGTTCTCTGAGAGCCTAGAGTATTTTCTAGGTCCTTTAATCATGGTATGCAATTGTTCTTTTATGGGGAGGATTTGGATTGTAAAATACAATCCTTGGTATTTTAGAATGAAATCCTTCTCTCAGAGAAAGTGACTCTAAAATTGAGGAACTTTTTGTTTGTGGAATGTACAGAAAGAAGGAATGACACGAATATTTTGAACTCAACAGTTTTAGAAACTGATCTTTCACTTCAGGGCCAGCCTTGTTAGAGTCAGAATTTGATGACATTTCATCCCTTCAGGATTAGTGGAATCCATTTTTATACGCATAAGGATTTACACAGTTGAAACTTAACCACCACTCCATTCACATTCGTCAAGTCATCATCTGTGTATCCCATGAATTTGTTTTAAAATGCTGGAAAGTAATATGCCAACATTATAGAAGTGAGGGAAATAGAGGGAAATTATAGAGTAAAATCATCACCTAAAATGTCACTACCTTAATACTGAGAGGCATTTGGACCTGGGGCACATTATCTTTGCACCTCCATCTCCTCATCTGTAAAATTGAGAATAATAGTATCTACTTTATGGAGCTTTGCCATGACCAAATGCGATAGCAAATTAAAGCACACATGCAAAAACCTACAATAAATATATATTTTATTAGAGCAAAAATAAGCATTTTTATATAGTCCCTTGATCTTGGTTTTCTCCCTTTTTACAAAGTTTGTTTTTTGTTTTGTTTTGGTATGCTTAAAAAAAAATTATATAGAGACAGGATCTCACTGTGTTGCCCAGGCTGGACTCAAACTCCTGAGCTCAAACAATCCCCTGGCCTTGGCCTCCCAAAGTGCTAGGTCTACTGATGTGAGACATCATGCCCAGCCTGTTATACTTTTGTATGTTTGTTTCTTACTGCACATTACTAAATGATCACTTTCCATCTTATTGTGTGTCATTGCTGTTCCGTGGTAGTAACAGTATGCCATCATAGCACATTCATTCCCCCGTTGTTGGACATTTGGGTTGCCTTCAGTATCATAAATGGTGCTTCAGTGAGCAATTTTATATATGTATTTTTACTTCCTGGGAAACCTTAAGCAGGTTTCATAACCTCTGTCTTCGCTGACTTGTATGTGGATGGGGATAGAATCCTATCTACCTGCAAGGAGGGCTATATGGATTAAGTGAAGCAATATCACAAAGCACTTGGCACAGTGACTGGTGTTTACCAGATGCTCAGTAAACATTACCTCTTTGTGTTTTTCGCTTATTTCTTTAGGCTTGCTCCAGAGATGGGGTTTCTTGCTTCAGTGTTTTCCAGAAGAATTTTAGCAGTTTATGCTGTCAACAGCAATATGTGAAAGGACTGACTTCTTGACCTCCTTATTAGCAGTGATTCTGAATTTTAACTATCTAATTCTCCCTTCAAAACGATCGTGAAAAAAACAGGTTCATCCATATTTGAGCAGGTTGTTAGGACTGGGACTCGCTTCTGCTCACCCACCTGAACAGTCAGACCTCCTGTTCACCAAGGTCAAGTTCTGGAGGCTCTTTGGAAGTCTTGTTTTTCTAAGCTTGCAGCCTCCAGTTGCATTCCACCAAATTGTAGTGTCAGTTGGTCCTTTGAAGCTTAAAACCCAGCATATGTTATTCCTTACTCAATGAAGTACACATTGTCGGTCGTCTTTGTATTTTTACTTTTTCTAAAACAAGCCAACAGTTTGCACTAGGAAAGTCCATTGTAGCAAGTAATGACCTCTATGATCCCTTCCCTTCTCCAGAAAAAAGAAATTGGCAAGGGTAACCATATGTCCTGGTTTGCTCAGTTTATACTTGTCTAGTGTAATTATTTATAGTGCTCCCTTCACCCTCATAAGTGACCTAGTTTGGATGATAAATTATATCGTCATCCTAGCCCCAGGGGATTCCTCAGCAGCTGGGGTATCTGCCTACACTTGCCACCTCTCCACTCCCCCTGACAACTTCCTCTCTGTCCAACAAAGGATTCCACAACATTGCTTTCACCATGCTTGACTCAGAAGGTTCTGCGTTTGTCCGGTGTCTTCTGATTTCACATTAGCCCAGTAGACACGCACTCAAATGTGTCTACTTTTATCATTCCTTTCTCCTCCATCTTGCCGATGATTATCAGTGGCATTGGCAGGGCACTTTTCATTTGATTCAAAAATGCTTTTGTCCTTCAGAATTATTTGTTTTTCAGCTAAATTCATCCCATAGGCAAATGTAACATTTCTTATTTCTCATCACTTGCAATTTAGAAGTTATATCTGTTTACAATTTCATCTTAAATGCAAACGTCCTCTTATAGAACATTTAAGCCTTATTTTGCCTTGTAAAATATAAGATTAATTGTATTCATAAAGCTCCTCAACAGGTCAACAATGAGGAAGCAATGGCAAGGACAAGTCTATAGTGGTAGTGCACAGCTCCTGTCTCCCTGATTGGCCACAGGCAGAGTTTAGCCCATAAGATGAGAGTTTGTAGGTACAGAATCTTCAGCATTGGAAAAACTAAAACACGTTAGCCACTCACTTATGATTACCTTGTGTACCTAAGTAACTCTAATTTAACTGGCATAAAGGGCTTTGTGATTTGAGAGACCCTCTTTTCCTCCAAACAAGTGCTGACATTTCTTGGGTAAAGTGTCCATGTTTTGAGGAGGAAAAACAAGGTTTTGGTGATGGATCCTGCCAGAGTGAACCCATGCAGTGTCACTGTCGTTCATAGGTCAGAGTGTGGATTCTTAATGGAAGATATGTTTATCTCTTTGTTTTTACTAGGTGACTTTCGGATGCTGGTTGGAGAGGATAAAACAAAAGTGTTGAATATTGTGAAGCCCAATATAGCCCACTTTCGAGAGCTCTATGGCAGCATACTACAGGAGAATCCTCAAGTGGTGTATAAAAGCCAGCAAGGCCGGCTGGAGGTAAATTGTAGGTGGAAAATAGCTTGCATTGTTTCTAAGACAAGAGCTATTTGCAGGAAGAAAGTCAGGTGTAGAACAACATGACTAATGTGAGAATATTTATAGTTTAAAAAGTAAGTACTGTATGGGAACATATGGTTCTATATATCTCGAATAGTGCTAAAAGGTAGCAGAGACTAGTAAGAGGCTGCCTTTGGAGAAGGGAACTACGGGCAGAAGTGGGAGAGGGACTTGTTTTCACCATGTGTCTTTTTTGCCATTGGAAATTCTTATGCCTGTTAATTACCAGTCAAAACTAATGAAAATAAACTTTTAGATCACTCTCATTCCATTCCCAGACCCATTTAGGTCCCCAGAGGTAACTGTACTGACATTTTGGTGTCTATTATCTTTTTCTTTTTTGGGGACAGGGTCTGACTCTGTCACCCAGGCTGGAGTACACTGTCGTGATCTTGGCTCACCTCAGCCTCAACACCCCCAGCCTTAGCACCCCCAGCTCAGCACTTTGGGAGGCCAATGTGGGCAGATTACTTGAACCCAGGAGTTTGAGACCAGCTTGGGCAACATGGTCTCATGTTTTGTAGATACAGGGCAATAGCCTGTCTCTACAAAAAATACAAAAATTAGCTGGGTTTGTTGGTGTGCACCTGTAGTCCCAGGTACTTGGGAGGCTGAGGAGAGAGGATTGCTTGAGTCCAGGAGGTATAGGCTACAGTGAGCCAGGATTGCGCCATTGCACTCCAGCCTGGGCAGCAGAGTGAGACCCTATCTCAAAATAAAAAATAATAATAAACGAATAAATTATCCCTTGGAGAAAAGTAATCTAGATTTAAGGTTTTTTGTTTTTGTTTTTTAGCTATGAAAACCGCAGGTTTTTTTTTCTTTAATGTAAAGAACACTGTATTTTACTTCGTTTCTGCTCTTCGCCATCCACATAATAGGGGCAACTAACATTGTAATGAGTAATAGATTAACGGAATTTCTAGAGCTAAAAAGGGAATTAAAAAAAATAGAAATTAGTGGCTAGGCGTGGTGGCTCACACCTGTAATTCTAGCATTTGGGAGGCCGAGGCGGGTGGATCACCGGAGGTAGGGAGTTTGAGACCAACCTGACCAACATGGAGAAACCCTGTCTCCACTAAAAATACAAAATTAGCCAGGCTTGGTGGCACATGCCTATAATCCCAGCTACTCAGGAGGCTGAGGCAGGAGAATCGCTTGAACCCAGGAGGCAGAGATTGTGGTGAGCTGAGATTGCGCCATTGTATTCCAGCCTGGACAAGAGTGAAACTCCATCTCAAAAAAATAAAAAATACATGGAAATAGGAATTAGTTTTAAAATAAGAAAAGAATAGAGAGTGACATATGAAAATCGAGAATACCCACCACGCGGTTTAACAGATTTTGCCACATTTTGTTCAGGAGGAGGTTTTTTATTTTACGCATGCACGTGGTTTAAAAGCCAAATGGTACCTCAGTTTTATAACAAGAAGGGCAGTTCCCTGTGTATACCTTTCTACATTCTCAGCCTTACTTACCAGAGGCAGCTGCTTTCATCTCTAAAGCTGATTCTTCTGATATTCACTTCAGTGTTCTAAATAATATGCTTTGACTATTATTTCCTGATTTTTTTTCAATCTTTCTCTTTATTTTTGCCATCCTGGAAAATGAGGATTTTTTTTTTACCATCTTACACTGCCCCATCAATTCACATACCAATACACACATTTACACACAGGCATTCAGCACACACATTCTCTTCCCCTCCTACCTCATGTCCTCATGCTTCACCTAAAGGTGTTTCATAATTTTTGGTTAGGTTAATATTCAGTATTTACTATATTGTGACAGCTTTTTCTTTATTGATGAGCTGTGGTATTATGAAGTTCCCTTTCCTATACAACTTTGTTTATCCTGGAGTTGTCTTATTTTTTCAGTTGCTTAGGTCATTCTTTCATCCTCAAACTCTGACAGATCTGTAAAACTCTTCCCATTATAGACAGATTATCGGTATTTTTTGTTTCTTGTTTTTCCTGGAGCCCCCTGCCCTGTTCCCTTCTCAGCTGGTTGTTTTCTAGCTTGCACAGCTGCACTCCTCCACCTTCCTTTCATTATTACCCCGAGAACTCCCTTTGCCTCCCCTGTGCTAGTTTTTGGTTCTGTGGGTCTTGCATTTTCCTCTGCCATGGCTTACCCTCTCATATTAGTAAAGTATGTCTTTTATTACGTTTTTAAAGGGTGTGAGGTAGTTAAATTTTTGAGACTTTATACCTCTGAAAATTCTACCTTCCCTTTGATTGATAGTATTGGCTAGATATCAAATTCTAGGGTGGAAATCATTTTCCCTCTATTTATATGTTTTCCATTAATTATTCAGGCACTTGCTAGGTTTGTTCATCCTCTCTCTCTCTCTCTCTCTCTCTCTCTCTTTCTCTCTCTTTCTCTCACTTTTCTTTTTTCTTTTCTTTCCTCTTTTTTGTTTTTGAGACAGGGCCTTGCTCAGTTGCCCAGGCAGAGTGCCGTGGCGCAACCCCAGCTTCCTGCAACCTCAAACTCCCAAGCTCAAGCAACTCTCCCACCTCAACCTCTTGAGTAACCGGGACTACAGGCACGCACCACCATGCCTGACTGGTTTCTGTATTTTTAGTAGAAACAAGGTTTCACCATTTTTCCCAGGCTGGTCGCAAACTCCTGGGCTCAAGCCATCCTCCTACCTTGGTCTTCCAAAGAATTGGGTTAACTCATGTGAGTCACTGCACCCAGTCTCAGTGAGACTTTTCTGTCTGAAATTTTATAAGCTTCAATTCTAGGGAATTTTCTTTCATTATTTCTGTAATTATTTCTTCATACTCATTTTCTTAGTTTGTTCTTCCTGGGATTCCTCTTAGGTTGTTGCTAGATCTCCTGGTTTAACCTTTTATCCTCTCTCTGTGTCTCTCACTCTCACTCTCACTCATCACTTTAGCTTTATGGGAGAATTTTTCTGATTGGTTTTTTTTTGACACAGAGTTTCGCTCTTGTTACCCGGGCTGGAGTACAATGGCGCGATCTCGGCTCACCGCAACCTCCTCCTCCTGGTTTCAGGCAATTCTCCTGCCTCAGCCTCCTGAGTAGTTGCGATTACAGGCACGCGCCACCATGCCCAGCTAATTTTTTTGTATCTTTAGTAGAGACGGGGTTTCACCATGTGGACCAGGATGATCTCGATCCCCTGACCTTGTGATCCACCCACCTCGGCCTCCCAAAGTGCTGGTATTACAGGCATGAGCCACCGCGCCTGGCCTCTGATTGGTTTTCTAACACTTCTACTGAATTTTTAATTTTTTCCAAATGTTCTTTTTTATAGCATTCTACTCTTGTATTATGGATGCGTTATTTTCTCTAATCTCTTTAATGATCTTTACTGTAACTTTTGAAGAGTTGGTCTTGCTGTCTCACATTGTTTCTTTCTCTGATAGTTCCTTTTGTTTGTTCATTTACTCTTGTCTGTTATGTTAGAAGCTTTTCTGAAATGTCTGAATTTCCTTCCTGGCCTGTTTTTTTTTAAATAATTAATCAATTAATGAATTTGAGAGGGGATTTCACTCTGTCACCTAGGCTGCAGTGTAGTGACATGATCATAGCTCACTGTAGCCTTGAACTCCTGCACTCAAGTGATCCTGCCATTTCAGCCTCCTGAGTACCTGGGACTACAGGCCCATGCCAGTATGCCCATCTGATTTTTTTATATATGTGTGTGTATCTATATCTATGGATAGATATAGATATATACACGTACACATACATATATAAACACATACATACATACACACACATATATATTTGTACCCATATGATCTGAGACATTACATTTTTTTTTTTTTTTTGTAGAGACAGGGTCTCACTTTGTTGCCCTGGCTGGTCTCGAACTCCTAGGCTCAACTATCCTCCTTTCTTGGCCTCCCAAAGTCCTGGGATTACAGGCAAGAGCCAACATGCCTGGCTCTAGCCTGTTTTTAAAGAATGAGGCACTAAAATGCAGACTGGAGGTTCTTTGCGATATATCAGACTTATCAACTGGTGGGCTTGACTATAGGATTATGAAGCAAGGACCTACCTGTTTTGTTTGGTTTTATTTTGTTTTTTTGAGATTGAGTCTCTCTCTGTTGCCCAGGCTGGACTGCAGTGGCTCGATCTTGGCTCACTGCAACCTCCATATCCCAGGTTCAAGCAATTCTTGTGCCTCAGCCTCCCGAATAGCTGGAACTATAGGCATGTAACACCACACCTGGCTAATTTTTGTATTTTTAGTAGAGACAGGATTTCACCATGTTGGCCAGGCTGGTCTCCAACTCCTGACCTCAAGTGATTCGCCCACCTCGGCCTCCCAAAGTGCTGGGATTACAGGCATGAACCAACGCTTCTGGCCAAGGAACTGGCTGTTTTATTGGAGGATCTCAAATATCAGTGTCTGTAGAATTTCTCCAGAGATCTTCCATTCTCTGGCTAGAGGACAGGGAAGTATAATGTGTCTAGCTACCAATTTTCTAGAAACTGAGCAAGGAAAAAGACCTAGGAATTTTGTTCCACTATGAAGATAAAGGTATCCAGAATCTTTCCTATGGCCTATAAAAGCCTGCATAATCTAGTTTCTAATTGGTTTCTTTTCTGGGGAAATTTACAAGAGTAAGTTTGAGGGACTGAGCTACAGCTCCCAGTGCTGCATCTGGCCTTGAGGCTGCAACTAAGACTCATCTTCTGCCGCCTCTGCGACCCATCCAGATTCCCTTCACCCTCATCTGCCACTTCTGCTTGTCTAGACAGGGTGGCCCAGACCCTCATCTTGGAGGAGTCTGGAGGACCCTGGCTACCACATTTGTCCACTTACCATCAAAATTGGGCAAGGGATACTAAGAGATGCGTATCAGCACCCCCAGCTCCTGATGACCAGGGCCTATTGCTCCTGCCAGTGACTCATTGCCTTATCTGCTGGACTTTTGGCATGGGATTCTGAATTGATT